GGGAGGGTATTTTAATGTCTCTGGCAGCACTGTTTCATTTGGCTGTTTTCCATTACCTGAATGTCATCTAATTTGTTATATTAATCTTGTAGTACAAACTCTATGTCTGGGTCCCATGTCAATATTCCTTTCTTCATTGTTCTCCCAATTAAACCAAATATATGACAGTAAGTCAAGTGTCTGAGAGGGAAACAAATTTTATCACTTACTTAAATGTGTATTGCTTTGAATTGTTCAGGCCTAGAGCCTTAGTACTTCAAAGGAGGCTATCAGGTGAGTTGTCTTATTATCACCTACCAGACTGAGGAAGCATATGTGACCGTAACCTCAATTACTGCAGAAATCAATATGTTTCTTTCTGTAGCAATAGCTCTTGACTTTCTCCACCTAGCACAGCATATAGATACAATGCAGCAGTGGCACACTTGATAGTGATTCTTCCCTGGGATTTGGGAGCTTATCAGAATCTCCAGGGGTACTTATAATTTGAAAAAGTCCCCCAGGTGTGATTCTGATTTTCTTCCTTCTCCTCCTCCTCTGAGAATCACTGTTTCATCCAGAAGCCTCAGCATACATTGGAACATTTGTTGGTATATTGCCCTTGCATTGTTGAACTCCCTAATCCCCATGTCCTCATGCTTCCATTTTGAATGGTCCCCAGTTGTTTCCTCATATACCATAACTTCTGAAACCAATGTCTGCCTGTCACTAAAGGTATAGCTATCATTGAAGCAGTCCTACTAGAGTTTGGATTCCTACAAAGCAAAGAGTTCTCCTTAGCTTATGGCAAGGTTTAATTGTGTGGTTTATTTAAATGGGAGCTCTTTACAAAGACTTCAACTAGAATCCATGGTTTGTATTAACACCCCTCCCTGCCAATTTTTTTTATGAAAATTTTTAAATCTATGCCACAATTGAAAGAATTTTAGGGTGAACACTTCAATATCCACCATCTAGAGTCCACAATTAACATTTTAATACTAGAGGCCCGGTGCATGAAATTCGTGCATGGGAGGGGGTGTACTTCAGCTCAGCCTGCAACCTCTCCAATCTCGGACCCCTCAAGGGATGTCCTACTGCCCGTTTAGGCCTGATCCCAGTCAGATCAGTCCTAAACAGGCAGTCATACATCCCTCTCACATTCCAGGACTGCTGGCTCCCAACTGCTCACTTGCCTGCCTTCCTGATTGCCCCTAACCACTTCTGCCTGCCAGCCTGATCACCCCCTAACCATTTCTATGCCAGCCTGATTGATGCCTAATGCTCCCCTGCCAGCCTTTTTGCCCCCAACTGCCCTTTTCTGTTGGCCTGGTCACCACTAACTGCCCTCTCCTGCGGGTTTATCACCTACAACTGCCCTCCCTTGCAGGCCTGGTATCTCCTAACTGCCCTCCACTGCTGGCCATCTTGTGGTGGCCATCTTGTGTCCACATGGGGGTAGGATCTTTGACCACATGGGGGCAGCCATCTTGTGTGTTGTAGTGATGGTCAATCTGCATATTACTCTTTTATTAGATAGGATAGAGGCCTGGTGCATGAGTGGGGGCCAGCTGGTTTGCCCTGAAGGGTCTTCCAGATCAGGGTGGGGGTTCCCTAGGGGCATGCGGCAGCCTGGGCAAAGGACCTGTGGTGGTTTTCAGGCTGGCCACACCCCCCAGTGACCCAAGCAGAGGCCCTGATATCTGGGATTTATTTATCTTCTACAATTGAAACTTTGTAGCCTGGAGCAGAGCCAAGCCTTCTACTTGCTCCATGGTGGCAGCCATTTCTGTTGGAATTTATTTATCTTCTATAATTAAAGCTATGTAGCCTTAAGCAAAAGCCAAGGCAGGCCAAGTTGTGTGGAAAGTTTGGCTTCCTCCATCGCTGGGGGCAACCTTAGCCTCCTGCTCTCTCTAGCTCTGTGGTTGCCACCATTTTTGTTGGATTTATTTACCTCCTGTAATTGAAACTTTGTAGCCTGGAGCAGAGCCAAGTCTTCTCCTCTCTCTGTGATGACAGTCCTTTCTGTTGGGATTTATTTATCTTCTATAATTGAAACTTTGTAGCCTTAAGCAAAGGCCAAGGCAGGCCAGGATGTGCAGAAAGCTTAGCTTCCTCCTTTCCCAGGGAAACCCATGCCTCCCTTCTGCTCTCTCCATGGCCACAGACATCTTGGTTGGGTTAATTTGCATGCTCGCTCCTGATTGGCTGGTAGGAATGGCTTGTTGGTATAACAGAGTGACGGCTGATTTGCATATTACTCTTTTATTAGATAGGATACTTACTTAATCATATATCTACTTAAAAGTTTATCCCTCTGTCCATCATTTCACTCTTTTAAATTATTACACAGTAAAGTCCAGATATAAGTACAGTTCCCCCTAAACACTTCGGCATGCAGATCATTAACTAGAGTTTAATATTTATTTACAGTTTTTTTGTTTTTGATGGATAATTTACATGCAGTGCAAGTGCCCAAATCTAAGTGTTCATTAACTGACTTTTGACAAATAATATATCTATACTAGAGGCCCAATGCATGAAATTCATGCATCACTAGGGTCCCTAGGCCTGGCCAGTGATCAGGGCTAATTAGGTTTCCCACCTCCCCACCTCCCTGTCTTCTCCTTCCCTTGCTCCCTTAGCGCCCCATCACTGCCACTGATCGCCCACCATGTTGAGTTCCGACCCTTGATGGTCAGCTCACATCATAGTGAGCAATCAAACTCCTGGTCTCCCAGTCAAACTTCCTAGGGGGCAATTTGCATATTAGCCTTTTATTATATAGGATAGCCTATATTCCTATCAAAAAATAGATTTTTTAAAAATACATTTTATTGATATTTTACAGAGAGGAAGGGAGAGGGATAGAGAGTTAGAAACATTGATGAGAGAGAAACATATATCAGCTGCCTCCTGCACACTCCCCACTGGGTATGTGCCTGCAACCATGTCCTTGACCTAAATCGAATCTGGGACCCTTGAGTCTGCAGGCCAACACTCTATCCACTGAGCCAAACCAGTTAGGACAAGATAGAAGATTTTTAACACCCTCTTTTTTTCTGCCCAAATTATTCCCTCTTGACACTATATAATCTCTGAATTTAAGGCAAGGAAAAAACTTGTCAACGTGTCTGGATAAATAGAGATCAATGTTTAATAATGGATCAGCAGATTTATCTTCCCCATTGCCTAAAGTACCTTGTGTTTTAAATTGTGTATGAATGGCCCTAGCCAGTTTGACCCAGTGGATAGAGTGTCAGCCTGTAGATGGAACGGTCCTGGGTTTGATTCCAGTCAAGGGCACATGTCCAGGTTGTGGGCTTGATCCGCACTAGGGGGCATGCAGGAGGAGGCAACCGATCAGTAATTATCTCTCATCATTGATGTTTCTCTCTCTTTCTCCCTCTCCCTTCCTCTCTGAAATCAATAAAAATATATTAAAAATATATAAAATGGCTAAAGCCATAATTTTTTAAAAATGAGCATGAATGGTTTAAAACAGGAGCCTGAGTGTTTTACTTTTTAACTAATTATTTTACAAAATACAGTATTGAGGTATAAATACCTTATATCTATTTGGTTGAGTATTTTATAAGACAATGACATGTGAAGTGAGATACATTGGAATATATCATAAGTTGGAAAGAGAAAGGAAGTAGATGTGAGATGATGAAAATCAAAAATACTAATATAATATAGCATGTTATGTCATTAATTGATTAAAATACATATTATGTATATCTAACATCGTGAGATACCATAGTCTATCCCAACAGTGGCACAGCATTTATTTAAGAATACTGACATATCATCATATGCCTTTAGGAAATACACCTTAAATTCATCTCACTATTGGTTTTGGATGTTTGTCCTTTAATAATGCCTTTATGCCTAGTAAATACCTCTTATTTGGCTTCATTTTAGAGTGATACAGCATATTTTAGTTTATACTATATTTAGTTAAAATATGGTATAGATTTGAAATTATTTGCTTGCATTTTATTAGGACATACATGTAAGTATATTTCTAATAAAGCAATTCTGGTTTCAAAAGGAGAAGCTATGACAAAAGTAAATTGTGATATTTCCATAATAAAAAGATATAGCAAACATGCAGACATTTGCATATAGTTTCTGAAATATTGCATACTGGCTTTGTCGGTGCTGGTAAGTCCATTTCAAGGATGTTGCCCTTAGTCCATTAGTTTGGATAATGAGCCCTATAAAGTACATTTATAACTTGTGGCACTGCAAGGAGATGGATTCTAATTTTCATCCTTTTATCTAGACACATTGAAAGAAGGTCAATGGAGGGTTCTGTATGATTCATTGTCCCAACACATATCAGATGACAGAGACCTGATAATGTCCATGCATAATTGTTTTCCTTATTTGGAAATTGCACTTGAAAGAAATCTTTCTATAATCATCCTTTGAAGTAAAGTGGAAACAGATATTAAAAGAAGCTCTAGGTCTTTTGGGGGGGAGGGTCTAACATATTATCACACATGTGACCAGAGAGCTATTCTTGAACAGAAGAGAAAGCAACACATAACAGAAAAATAGAAAGTCTTTAGGTGTCTTTTACAGGCTGTGAATGATATAGCAAGGTATTTAATCAATTTTTATCTTCCCCTTTCCTTAAGTCTGTTAAGAACAAAAAGAGCCTGTTTTCTAAATTAAGGGAAAATATTCTGTGTTCCTAAACATTAGGAAAACTCATATTATATACTTTTCCTAACTTTGTCTTTCTTACTAATGCCATTCAAAATAAGTATTTGAGTTTTATCTCACACTTATTTCTTAGTTTACTAGTAAAAGACTCCAGATAGCAATAAAAATATATATTCTATATATAATGTCCATGTTTTTATTTTTTAAAAATGTGAAATTATAGGCAATTTTAAAATCTAAGAAATTGGTTTTAGATTCAAAATTGATAGTTGATTATGTTTATTTGCTCAATTATTTAATCATCAATGAGAACATTTTAGCTATGCTTGTCTTCTTTGTAGATGCAAAGCAATCATAGATCAGTTTGGTCAGAGAATAATCTCTAAGCATTTCCTTGTGGAGGACAGTTACTTTTCTGAGAACACATGCTCGCACATACAATACAGGTAAGGAACATCACCCACTGTTCAAGGGAAGGTGAAACATAGAAAAGTTTGGCTTTGTGATTACATTGAAATGAAACTCCTGTATAACCATTGTTCACGTAAAATGCAAATATATACCAAACAAAAGATAGTATTGAGTATGTTTCCATTGTTCTCTTATAAGATCTCGTTTGGGGGAACTTAGCCTAATTTTGACTCCTTTGCATCAGCTGGGGTTTGTCTGCAGGTCACATATCCTTCCTTTCATGAGCCAAGAAAAGATTAAAGCAGAACTTGACTCGGTTTGGGGAGGTGACAATTTTATCGTGACTTAAATCTTTGAAATATGCCTTCTGGTGGTTATATAACTGTAAATGAAACTTATCCATGAAATCTGAATCACTGAATAACTTTTTTGTGCAATGTAGGCAAATTTCCAGGGCAGTCCTAATTACAGATAGATCTGTACTACAAGCAGATTCAGATCAACAGGTAAATTTAGTCCTGTACTTTTTAATAACATGTTGCTAATTTATTCTACATGGTAATATGTATAAATTAATATTGGTGAAATAAAATGTAGTAAGCCATACGTGCTAATTTAAGACATTTTAAAATATATAATTGTAATTATGTAATAATCTTTGTTTCTTAAAGATTTCCTTCTAACAGAATAAATAATTTTGCCTTATAAAACAGATTTATGCTAGGAAAATTGGACTAATCCTGGTGTTCCAACAACTATTTCTTTGGAACTGAAAACACATACCTATGAGAAGATAAAGATAATCCCAGAGAACACATTTTAAAATCTTGGAGGAAAAGTGTTTTTAATAAGAAGTGGTAAGCCCACCAGTAGGCCTGGTGTGAATGAGTATCAACACACATTTTTATTTCTGCTACTTCCCTATTGCCATTGTTCATTGCAGTACCCTCTTCAGCCTTCTCACTTCCAATTCTTTTGGAATGTCTCTATATACCTATGGTTTTCCCTCAGTCTGTTCACCTAAGTTCCAGGGGTGTGTTCCATTTTCCTGACCAAATTTTACAGTGACTGATAAAATCAGCTTACTCAGTAAGTATGCCTGTCAGACTTATACTATCTAATAAAAGAGAAACATGCTAATTGACCATACCTCTGCTAAGCCTACCAGCCAATCAGAAGCGAGTATGCAAATTAACCCAACCAAGATGTCTACGGCCATGGAGCTGGAGAGACAGAAGACTTGAGTTTCCCCCGGCAATAGAGGAAGCCAAGCTTTCTGCACACCCTGGCCGACCTAGGCCTCCATTCAAGGCTACAAAGTTTCAATTATAGAAGATAAATAAATCCTAACAAAAATGGTTGCAGCCACAGAGCAGGAGAGAGCAGAAGGCTTGAGTTGCCCCTGCGATGGAGGAAGCCAAGCTTCCCGCCCACCCTGGCCAGCCCTGGCCTCAGTTCAAGGCTACAAAGTTTCAATTATAGAAGATACATAAATCCCCAATACCAGGGTCTCAATTTGGGTCGCTGGGGGGCATGGCTGGCCTGCAAACCACCACAGGAATCTCACCCAGGCCACCGCATGCCCCAAGGGATCCCACACCCTGATCCAGGACACCCTTCATGGCAAACCAGCTGGCCCCACCTGTTCACCAAGCCTCTATCCTATCTAACAAAAGAGTAATATGCAAATTAAGCATCACTCCAACACACAAGATGGCTGCCCCCATGTGGACACAAGATCGCCACCACAAGATGACCAGCAGGGGAGGGCAGTTGAGAAGGACCAGGCTTGCAAGGGAGGGCAGTTAGGGGGCGATCAAGCCTACAGGGTAGGCAGTTAGGGGTGACCAGGTTGGCAGAGGAGGGAAGTTGGGGGCAATCGGGCCTGCAGGGAAGTGCAGTTGGGAGGGACCCAGGCCTGCAGGGAAGGGCAGTTAGGAGTGACCAGATCTGCAGGGGAGGGCAGTTAGGGGCAAACAGGCTGGCAGGGGTGCAGTTAGGCATCAATCATGCTGGCAGGGGAGTGGTTAGGGGGTGATCAGGCTGGCAGGCAGAAGCGGTTAGGGACAATCAGGAAGGCAGGCAGGCGAGCAGTTGGGAGCCAGCAGTCCTGGATTGCTAGAGGGATGTCTGACTGACCATTGGATCAGGCCTAAACGGGCAGTTGGACATCCCTCGAGGGGTCCCAGTTTGGAGAGGGTGCAGGCTCGGCTGAGGGACACCCTCTACTTCGTGCATGTATTTGTGCACCGGGCCTCTAATAGACATAAAAAGAGCAACTAATTTATTGTGACAAGTGAGTAAGAATGTTATAACAGCTATTATAGAACTCATCACACTGTCCCGTAATTACCAGTTGACTTATCTGTCTCTCCCAGTAAACCTTGAGCTTTGTAAGTGAGTTGAAGAATAACATTGAGGCAGAAACATGAAGAGTGGAAATAGAGACAATACTGAAGAAGCTAAGCTGTGAAGAGCAAGAGAAAGTGGTTCCTGAAGAGGGATGTGGAAGTGAAGAAGGTTTCTCTTATATTGAAAAGACTAGAGGACTGATGCATGAAAATTTGTGCACTCTGGGGGTCCCTCAGCCCAACCTGTGCCCTCTCACAGTCCAGGAGCCCTCAGAGGATGTCCTACTGGAGGCAACCAGGCAAGCCAATCAGGACAGCGCTGCCTCTGTCACCCTACAGCTGCCACCACCGGCCTCCGTCTGTGGGAGGTGACTGGGCAGACCTACCCTCCACCCATTGCCCCTCTGCCCCTACTGGTTGCCGCCACCCCTCCTCCCCCCCCTATTGCCATCTCTTCCTTCTGCCCATTGGCACATGTCTTGACTGGCCCGCCCCCTGCCGACCAGTCGTTCCACTGTTTTGTCAGTTTGCATATTACACTTTTATTATATAGGATTAGTATATTTCAGCTGATGATTTTGAGCCAATGGAGAGAGTGGGGTTGAAGATACCCAGGACAAATGAAGGTTTATTGATACAGCAGGGTCCAGGTAAAAGGCCAGGGAGGATGGGATTTGGAGAACAGGTAAAAGTGCTGCTGTTAGATGGGATGTGAGTCAAGAGTATGAATGCAGGATCATTTGGGAATTCCCATTTGATGCGTTACATTTACTCTTTAAATTACAAAGTGAGGTAATCTCCAGGGAATGGGGCTATGAGAATGTGAATAGATCAAAGCTCAAGAAAAAATGTCAGATAATCACTGTGGGGAGTTAGAAAATGACATATCTCATGGTCAGATGGCTGGGCAGTATTAATGGCCCAATTGAGTCTGGAAGTCATGGTTTACAATGGCAATAATCTACTATCGTTCCAGCTTTCATTCTTTTACCTGCCACTTAGCCTGGTCAATGATCTAACAGGGGTCCTCAAACTTTTTAAAGTGGGGGCCAGATCATGGTCCCTCAGAGAGCTGGAGGGCCGGACTATATGAACTGCTAATTCCTACTGTAACACCTCGGCTGCTCTCATTGCCCAAAAAACCTGGCGGGCCGGATCAGACTCCTCTGCGGGCCACATGTGGCCCTCGGGCCGTAGTTTGAAGACATCTGTATAAGAGACTGGCAATTCCTTGCCTCCTCTGTTTTCCCCCAGATTACTAGCTCCCTGTGCCTTTTTCCATGGTCTACTGCATGCACAGAGGAAAATCCCATCACTTGGATAATCTGCATCTGGATCAGAGGGCTTCTTGAGTAAACCACACAATCAGACAGACTGGCACTGCCACAGTGTCAGAGGCAACAATCATTCAGCTGGACCTTAATACCTACTATCAGTTAGCTCTTCCACTGGCTTGAGACAGCTCCCTCTCCCTTTCCCGTCAGTGGCTAATTCAGGTCCTCAATATTTTACCCACCCTTCTTTCCCTTAAACTTCTCAACACCTCCTCCCCACTTCACAGAAATGTGAGGCCACCTACTAAACACAATGGCACTTGACATCCTGTTTCACCATCTACAAGTTATATATACCAGGACAGAGATTAGGAGGGCTCCTACCCTTGTCCAAGACTATACTTTTTCACTAGTGCCAATGACACACACATAGAACCCTGCATGCCTGCTTTCTCTCCTGTATCTCCAGCCTCTCCCAACTACTGGCATTCTCCTCTCAACCTGTATATATATAGTAGCATTTTCTATCCTAAAACTAAATAATAAAATGTTCCCTTGACTGTGTCCCCATCTCTAGCTGGTATCCAATCTCCCCTCCTCTTATCAGAATTTTCAAGATATTATCTGTACTTGCTGCCTCTAGCTCCTTACCTCTCATTCACTTTTGGACCAACATGGCTTCTACCCTCATATTTAAAACATAATTTATCTTCATAAGTTCTTTAATTGCTTCATAATAGTCAGGGTCACAGGGCAGTTTTTGTTTTTTGTCACTAGGTACTTTTTGATACATTTGATTGGCAATGTCAATTATTTCTTTTCTCTTGAAACTCTATACTCCTTTGGCTTCCAGACATTGTGCTCTCCTATTTCTCCTAATAACTCTGTCTATTCCCTCTACACTTCCTTTGTGGGCTCTGTCCTCCTTGTAAATATTGAGGCTCCTGAGAATTCAGGATATGGAAAATTCTGTGATTAGAGATCACTAATTATATCTCAATTTTTAAAAAGCATACATGATAGTTTTAAGAAACAAAAGAAGCACTTTATGCTCTGGTCGGTGATCTAAGTGGTTAGAGCACCTGCCTGTGCACCAAATGGTCTCGGGTTCAATTTTTGGTTAAGAGCATGTATTTGAGTTGCAGGTTCAATCCTGGCCCAGGTCAGGCTGCATGTGGGAAACAAATGATTGGCATTTGTCTCTCACATCAATGTTTCTCTCTCTCTCTCCCTTCCTCCTGCCCTCCTTTCCACTTCTCTAAAAATCAATAGAAAAAAATATCCTCAGGTGAGGATTAATAAAAAGAATAATAAGAAGGAATAAAGTACTTATATGTTTTTGTAGTCCTTAAGAAACTATTCCCTTTATACTCATGTTTTTAATCATAATTATTAGATAATCATAATATAACATATATTTTAGTGGATCTTCTCTCTTTAATCCTAAAGTACATTTTCTATCATGGATGGCAGCAAAGGGAGTTAGGAGTATGGAGAGCATAGTTTTTGAGACACTGTAAGCACAAAAATGCACGTACAAATAGTAGGATAGTCATGGTTATCAAAATAATTTCTGTTTGGGGAACTTGTAGGCATTTCCTGTGGGTACTGTCAACCTGATATTACCGTCAAATCTAGGCATGATAGTCACAGTAAAAGTCCAAATAGGGCTTTACCTTTTGGGAAGTATTTCGTAAATGAGATGGTATAGTTTCATCAGAATAAAGATTAGATTGAAATTTAATATTGAAACTTTGGTTCTATAGAGAAACATTGACCTGATGGTCATTTAAAGTCTTTTAAATATAAAGCCATTTAGCATATCAGTAGTGCCTAGAACAGCATACTGTATTTCAGTAAACATCCTATATAATAAAAGTAATATGCAAATCGACCAAACAGCAGAATGACCAGTCAGTGGAGGCAGGGCCGGTGAACAGATGGTGCCAGGCAGAGAGAAATGTGCCAGTGGGCAGAGAGAAAGAACAGCAATTGGGAGGGGGGAGACAGCAACCAACAGTGGTGGAGGGGTGATGGGGGGGTGCGGTGCCATCCCCGATAGGCAGGTCCGGTTGCCTCCCGCAGTAGGACATCCCCTGAGAACTCCCGAACTGTGAGAGGGCACAGGCAAGGCTGAGGGACCCTGCTCCCCAGTGCACAAATTTTCATGCACTGGTTACCTATTAATAGACAAACATGTAAATTGACTGTACCGCCACTACTTCCACAGCCAATCAGAGTGAGTATGCAAATTAACCCAAGAAAGATGATGGTTAATTTGCATACATAGGCGCCCAGTGGCCTGGGTCCTGTTAACATCCTCAACACCCAGGTCACTCCATGGTAGACCCTGCATGGGCCCTGAGCAGCTTAGGAAGGTCCTGAGCCAGGGGGGCCCTGGGCAGGGCCAAGCCAGCCATAGGAGCTGTGGGGGTTGGGGAATTGGGACCTGCCCACATCTAAAGTACCTGGGCAGTGATGGAGCAGGCAATTGGAGGGACCTGGGGGCCACCTGCCCAGGGTAGAGGCTGAGCCGTCAATCAGTGTGAACTATAGAGGAAACACCTTTTCTGACTGCTCATTGGCTAAGCTCCCTGTATGCCACTGGTAATAGTCTTAGTAACTTGGGTATAAGAATCCATAAAGGTGATCTAGGGTTTTTCCACCACACTCCTGGAGAAAAAAACGAAGGTCCACTGCTGGAGGGCTAAAAAATGTTATATCCTGCCCTAGCTGGTTTGGCTCAGTGGATAGAACCTTGGCCTGCTGACTGCAGTTTCTTTGTTCGATTCTGATCAAGGGCATGTACCTAGGTTACAGACTCCTACCTGGCCAGGGCCCAGGTCAGGGCTCATGCAGGAGGCAACCAAAGTGTTCCTCTCACTTTGATGTTGCTCTCTGTCTTTCCCTTTCTCTTCCACGTTCTCTAAAATTCAATGGAAACATATCCTCGGGTGAGGATTAAAAAAAGAAAGAAAGAAATGTCATATCCTATGAAAGCCACATCTTGAAAATGCCTAAAGAAAGTTGTCATTTTTTCATATTGAAGGGACTGGAGTCCATGTTGATGAAAACACCTTGGTGGCTGCAGTGACTGGCAGTGGCTGCAGCAGCAGGGTGATGGGGCTGGCACCTTCCCCTGATCAGCCAGGTCATCCCCCACAAAAGGAGACCAGACTGTGGCTTAGATAAACATGTAAATTGGGGAGCAGGCCTAAGCCATCAGTAGGACATCCCCTGAGGGTTTCTAGTATGTGAGAGGGGACAGGCTGGGCTGAGGGGGACGCCCTCCCCCAATGTACAAATTTTGTGCACTGGGCCCCTAGTAGTCTACAATAATCTATAATAATAAAAGTGTAATATGCAAATTGACATACAGTAGAACAACCTTCCAGACCACCACCACACTATGACATGCACTGGCGCCACACCAGCCAAGGCAGGTATGCTGTGATTGGGCAGGGAGGCCCTGCCATCGCCACAGATGGCCCTGCAGAGGGAGGCCCAGGCCACCCTCTGTGAGGCGATCGATGGGTGGCTTCATGATTGATCTCCCTGCAGAGGGAGACCCAGGCTACCAGGCTGGCTGTGCTGCAGCAGTTGGGTGGAGCCTCCCTCTGTGGCGCAATTGATCTGGGAGCCCTGCCATCGATTGCCCCACAGAGGGAGGCCCAGGCCAGCCAAGAAATCACACCCCATGCCTGTAGCACACAGAAAGAGGTGACCAGTGGAGGGGGAGGGAGGAACACTGCTGCACAGATGGCAAGCAGTGGCAATGGCAGTGGCAGGAGTGAAGCCAGCTGCCAGCAGCCAGGTGAAGGAAAGCCTGGATAGGCCCTGATTGCCAGCCAGGCCTAGGGACTCTACCTGAGGGTTCCCAGATTACAAGAGGGCTCAGGCTGGGCTAAGGGACATTTCTCCCCCCACCCACCGCATGAATTTAGTGCATCAAGCCTCTACTTATTTAATAATAATTTTCCATTTCACTTTTAATTCTAAGTTTCTACTTTTATTAATAAAGTCCTTAAAATAATTTGAAGCCATTCATTTTGAAACATTTTGGTATATGTTTGCATATACTTTGGTGTATGTGTTGCCATATACTTTGTTTTAATATCTTTGGAATTTGAAACATTTAAAATATTTTAGTATCCTGTAACTGCTATTTTTAGTCATTATGAATAATCAAAATGGAAAAAATATATTTAATATGATCTGATTTCAAACACTGAAGTACAAATAATTCAGAAGTAATATATCATAATTGTATCCTTTGAAAGTAAGTGAAGGATTTGATAAATATTAAAGATATTTGAAATATTCATTATCTATTAATTATATTAATGCACTATAGATGATATAAAATAATGCGGAAATCACATTTAGGACACATATGTGTGTTACAGATATCAAATTCTTTTCTAAAAACCTTACAAGCTACATTTTTTCAAACATCAGTGAGTGGTTGTAAAAGACATTCAGCTTTGATGTTAACTATACTCTAATCATAGAAAAAATGAAAATGAGGTCTAACAGCTATGTATGATATTTTATTTCTGCTTTTTAGATTTCCATTTTGACAGTACCAGCAGAGGAACCAGGAACTTCTGCTGTCCGGATCATTGAATTATGTTCTTCAACAATGACATGCATGAAAGGCACATGTAAGCATAGTAGAGTCTAGTTATTTCTCTTCTGTGTTTGTTTAGGAAGTAAAAGAGGGCAGTTATTGTTAAAGTTGCCGGGGTTGTGTTTATAGAGTCTTTTTACTCACAGTCTTGTTCATGCAGTGTGTATTCATATAATAAGTCATTTTATACCTACCCCTTGTTTTTTAAAAAATTTCTGTGGCTAAATCTTCACAGGCACTATTGTTAAGTTCTTCAGTGAAAGAAGTTCTGTGACTTTCTAATTTTTTTTGGTAATTTTTCTTAAGGTTATTGGAAACATACTTTCAAAAAATTTATTTTCTGTCTAGCTGGAGTGGCTCACTTGGTTGACATTGTCCTATGCACCATAAGGTTGACAGTCAGGGCACATACCCAGGTTGCTGTCTTGATTCCCAGTAGCAGGCATGCAGAGGCAATCAGTGGATGTTTCTCTCTCATCGATGTTTCTTTCTCTCCCTCTCTCTTCAATCAATAAAAAAGCATTTAAAAATTAAATCCTTTGCTGCTCATTTTCTTTTCTTGTAATTCTTTTTTTAATATATTTTTATTGATTTCAGAGAGGAAGAGAGAGAAGAAACATCAATAATGAGAGATAATCATTAATCAGTTGCCTCCTGCACTCCCCACACTAGGGATCGAGCCCTCAACCCAAGCATATGCCCTGACCTGGAGTTGAACTGTTCCTCCTGGTTCATAGGTTGACACTCAACCACTGAGCCACTATTATATTGGTATAATGTGTGTATGCCATTTTATCACATGTGTAGATTCTTGTGACCATGACAGTAAGGATCCCTAGTGATATATAATCCCATTATTGAACTTCTACCATGTATATAAATTCTCAATTTATTTCTGTTTAATGAGACTAAAGTTAGAGACTACTTTATCTGTTCTTTTTCCTAGATGTTTCAAGATTTATTTCTCCAGCATTGTCAAATATTATGCACTATATTTCTTAAAGATGCTTCAATAGGTAGAATTTAACAAGTATACCTTAGACGTCACTGTGCCTAGCCCTAAACTGTGTACTTGTAAAGATTATGAAGAAGCAGAGGTTAACATGCCTTATTTGAAGTGTTCATATGCTTTTTGCACACCTAATGGAACAAGATAGTATTAACTTAGTGAAATGTACATTTCAGGATAAGTAAAGATGAGTGTGAACTAAGCCTTGATCTTCGAGAACTCACAGTCTAATGTGACAGATAACACAAACACAAAATTAGTTCTAAAAGGCAGAATATGAAAGTACCACAAGAGAGGTACCAACAAGCAGTGGAGTCTAGAGATTCATAGGAGGGAAACAAAGCAATATCATTAGCTAGAATTATTTTTTATTCTATAAATTTATATTAAGTTTTACTCAAATTTCTTATAAGAATTATGAGAAGCAGAAGACTAATCTGGTTTGGCGTAGTCAAGGAATACTTGACTCTGTTTTCGAGTATAGTGCTACTATTTACTAAAAGATGGCAAAACTGTGCTAAAACATAAGTGGGAGCTTGATGCCAATAGGGAAAGTGAAGAAAACTTGTCCAATATTGCTGTAACTCAAAATTTCCATTTGAAAAGTTGCTCAGAAAAGTTTATTTTTCCTTTTACAATGATTTGTGATATTTACCATGACAGTTATCATTATTTTCCTCTATTATTTTTATCAGTTTTTTATGTCCTTTTATCTGTGTTAGTGTCTTAATTATAAAATAAAACTTCATCCTTAGTTTTCTAAATTACATTTATTTTATACTTGTGATTATTTTTGTAAATATATTTTTATAAATTATTTTCCCATGTGAAATACTTTTGTAGCCCCGGTCTAATAATACATATTGACAATTTGGATAATATTTTTTTAAGTACAATTAATATAATTCCTCTACCTAGAGCTGTAAAACCAAATTATATTAAAACTAGAGGCCCAATGCATGAAATTCATACTAGGGGCTCAATCCTCGCAACTGCTGCGGCTGCCTTTGGCCCTCGCAGACCCAGCTTCGTCCGAAAAGTCAGCTGGAAGGACGTCCGGAAGGTCTTTCAGCTGTCTAGTCTAATTCGCATATTATGCTTTTATTATTATAAATAATAAAACCAGGAACTTGACATTGGTGTAATGTGTGTATGCCGTTTTATCACATGTGTAGATTCTTGTGACCTTGACAATAAGGATCCCTAGTGTTATCATTTTTTAGCCACAGCCATCTTCCCACTACCTAATCCCAGGTAACCACTAATATGTTTACTATCAATAATTTTTCACTTTCAGAGTGTAATATAAAAGAATTATACAGTAAAACCTGGATATAATGGACTAATTTGGACAAGGGGGTGTCCATTAAAGCCAAAAGTCCATTATATAATTAAGTAGATTTCCTGAAGGCATGTTAAAAATTTAACAAATTAGTTTACCCATTTTTACTTGTATAGGCACGTTTCAGTAATTAAAATGATGTATGAAAAGTTTAATTTCATAGAAAAGTTATCTCTATGTATTATTGTGGTTTTAAATTTATACTGACTAGATAATAGTAAATGCATGCATTAACCAGTCACCAGAAGTTAATATATGCACACAGCTGGGAAGTTGCTTAGCACACCTGGGACATCAGCTGGCACTTGTAAAAACTGCTGCAGAAAGTCATGCCAAGCAACAACAGAACCAGTTACCACCAGATGTAGTATAATCACATGTTAATCATTCGCCAAACACTGTTTATGAGTGATGACTCTTGGCTTTAAATATGTAGACTATAGTTATAGATGTGTAATATTTAATTATTTTTTAATCAAGTCTTTATTGTTGAAAGTATTATATATGCACCCTTCCCCTGCTTGATCCTTTCTAGCCTGCCCATCCCTTGCCCCAAGCCTTCACCACCCTATTGACTATGTCAATGGTAGTCAACCTTTCTAATGCCGCGATCCTTTAATACTGTTCCTCATGTTGTGGTGACCACCAACCATAAAATTATTTTCGTTGCTACTTCATAACTGTAATTTTACTACTGTTATGAATCGTAATGTAAATATCTGTATTTTCTGATGGTCATAGGCACTACTGCAGCAGTTCTCAACCTGTGGGTCACGGTGGTCACCACAACATGAGGAACTGTATTAAAGGGTCACGGCATTAGAAAGGTTGAGAACCACTTGTCTGTGTCCATGGATTATTCATATATGCATATAAGTTATTTGGTTGATCTCTTCCCTCCCACCCACGCCTTCCCTCTGAGATTTGATAATCTATTCCATGTTTCTATGTCTCTACATCTACTAATATTTTGTTCATCACTTTATTTTGTTGATTAGATTCCACATATGAGTGATATCATTGCCAAATATGTTCTCCCATAGAGTGGGCTCACTTTTCATTTTGTTGATTGTTGTTGTTTTTTTCATGTTCAGAAGCTTTTTATTTTGATGTAGTCCCATTTATTTTCTCCTTAGCTTCCTTTGCCTAGGAGATAATATCTGTAAACATATTACTACCAGACATGTCTGAGATTTTGTTTTCTATGGTTTCGTCTTGGATTTTTATGGTTTCACAACTTGCATTTTAGTCTTTTATGCACTTTGAGTTTATATTTGTGTATGGTGTAAGTCGGTGGTCTAGTTTCATGTTTTGCATATATCTGTCCAAAATTCCCAACACCACTTATTTACTTATGTATTTTTAATTTAAATTCTTTATTGTATTAAATAATCTCCTCCTCCCCCCTTGACCTCTCCCCACCTGCTCCTACACCCCAGCACATGCCCTCACCTCTACCCCCCGCCATCAGTGTCCATTGGTCATGCTCATATGCATGCATACAAATCATTTGGTTGATCTCTTAACCCCTCATACCCCCCACCCACACCTTTCCTCATAGTTTGGACAGTCTGTTTGATTCTTCTATGATTCTGGTTCTATTCTTTGTTAATCAGATTATGTTGATCATATATCCCACATATGAGTGAGGTCTTGTGATATTTATCTTTCTCTGACTGGCTTATTTCGTTTAGCATAATGCTCTCTAGTTCCATCCATGCTGTTGCAAATGGTAAGAGTTCCTTCTTTTTTATAGCTGCATAGTATTCCATTGTGTAGATGTACCATTGTTTTCTAACCCATTCATCTCCTGATGGGCACTTACCATAGGCTCTTTCCAAATCTTAGCTATTATAAATTGTGCTGCTATGATCATAGGGGTGCATATATCCTTTCTGATTTGTGTTTCTGTTTTCTTGGGATATATTTCTAGAAGTGGGATCACTGGGTCAAATGGAAATTCCATTTTTAGATTTTTGAGGAAACTCCATACTATTCTCTACAGCTGCTGCACCAGTCTGCATTCCCACTAGCAGTGTGCAAGGATTCCTTTTTCTCCGCATCCTCTCCAGCACTTGGCGTTTATTGATTTGTTGATGATAGCCATTCTGACAGGTGTGAGATCGTACCTTATTGTTGTTTTGATTTGCATTTCTCTGATGATTAGTGACTTGTGATTTGTTTATTTTCTCCTTAGTTTACATTGCCATAGGAGTTGTGTCTGTAAAGATATTGCTACAACAAATGTCTGCCATTTTGCTGTTTATAGCTTCTAAGATTTTTATGGTTTCCCAGCTTATGTTTAAGTACTTTATTCATTTGAGTTTATTTTTGTTTACAGTGTAAGTTGGTGGTCTAGTTTCATTTTTTTACATGTAGCTGACCAATTTTCCCAACACCATTTATTGAAGAGACTGTCTTGACTCCATTGTATGTTCTTGCCTCCTTTGTCAAATGTTAACTGAGCATAATGGCTTGAGTCGATTTCTGGGTTCTCTCTTTTGTTCCATTGGTCTATATGTCTGTTCTTGTGCCAGTACCAGGTAGTTTTAAGGTCCGTGGCTTTGTAGTATAGCTTGATTATCTGGGATTGTGATCCCTTCTTGTTCTTCTTTCTCAAGATTGCTGCAGCTATTCGGACTCTGATTTTATATTCCATGAATTTTTGCAGAGTTTTTTCTAT